GCAAAGGCTTTCTTTTTTTTTAATCAAAGGTCAAAAACCAGAGCCAGTAATTTCCTCCTGCCTTCCAGTCTATCAGGACACTACATACTCTGCTTTGCTCTCTAGAAAGCTGTAAGAGCTGCTTCCAATCTAATGAGCAAAAGCAGATTTTTTGAGAAATGACCAAGCTAAGCAAACTACATATGGAAGAGCATGATGGCAACAGCAGCAGAAACTAACAGTGGGGAGAAAATATAATTTTTTACATTCTTCATGTAGAGTACTGAGGAGAGCAACTTCAGTTTCTACATCAGTCAGTGTACTATGAGCAAACAGCATCTGTTGAAACTGGGTTCTAAGTATGAAGGGAAAACACTTGATAGTTATTGTCATGTGGGAAAAATAATTGGATCTTTTTACTTCGTAAAAAAAAAAAAAACAAACAAAAAAAACAGACAACTTTTTGTGCTGGAAGAGGGAGCAGGAGAAAAAGAATACCAAAGGGAGAAGAGCAAGCAACAAAGCTATAGGATGATGTAAGTACAATGAAAAGGGAGGTGATGAGGGAGTAAAAGTAACTATAACACGGGGGTGGATAAAAGGAGAAGATACAAGGAAGAGTACTACAAGGGAAGGAAGAAAGTATGTTAGTGGCCATTGATAGCATTTGGTTTTGTATTTCGTGCTTATTACAAAAAGATTGTATTTAATTACTTTGGACTGATTAAAGACTTAGAAAGGTAAATATTTTGATAACACTAGCTTTCATGCTAATTTAGCAACTGTTACTAGATAGGAATTTGTGGTCTTGCTCCTCTGAATGCTAAGTTCAGTTATCATTTGCTCATCCAGGTTAAAGAAGTTTGCAACAACTCTGTTTCCCCACAGAGTATTGAATCTGAGTTTATCATGCACTTATGAATGAAAGCCCAATTTAATGAGGAATTGGGTCTGCTGTGCTCATTAAAGAAAACAGCAAAGCTCTAATGACATTATGACCCAAGTTTGCTTTATTCCTAAAAATCTTGTCTTTAAAAAAGATCTGTTTTTTTCCCACCTGGTTATTTCTTTGCTGTGTTCCTAAAGTACTTAGAAAGAAAATGAAACTACTTACTTACACAACTCTTTTTTCTTTTCTTTTATCTCTAGCAATAACAAACTAGAGAAAAATCAGTATGAATGCTTATAAGGTCTCACACAATGAAAAAAAAGCCTTAGGAAATTTTTTCTTCATTGAAATACCAGGTTTTATCATACTTCACAGTAAATACAGTGTCATGAAAAAAACACAATATATTTTCCTTTTTTTCCAAGACTGAAAAAAAAGTATATTATATGAAAGTTCTCCATTTGAATTGAAATTCAGGAATTAATAGGTTTTGTTATGGTAGTACCAAAGAAGAAACCAATCATTTAACCTTTATATATCCAGTTCTGAGACTCTCAGTTTGTATGTCACAGCTTGTACAGCAGACTAATTCCCATGGATCTGCCTGTGTCAGTTTTTAAAAAAACTTCCAAGTTCCTTGATTTCTCTAACAAATTTTATTCATTTTTTGTAAACTTATTTAAAGTGGGACTTGACAGAACTTAAAAACACATTAAAATGCTTTACTGGTTCAGTGAGGTTTCACTTCCTATTAGTTTTGCAGCTGTCACCATTTTGTTTCTAACCCTCTTAGATTAAAGAAGGCATAGGAGTACCTGTTACTGAGATAATGTCCTGAGCAAGGTCGTATGTTTCAGGCTGATTAAAGCAGTTGTGTCAGGATGCTACAGACTGGGTGTTCCCAAAACAACAATGCAGTTTGCCTACAACATTATTTATTTCTTTTGTGGAAAGGCTGTTCTTTGTCTGGCAGGAGTAAGGCTGAAAGAGAGTTGCAGCACAGCTAGTACAGCTGACCAAGCTTTTTTCCTGGTTCTCAAAGGAAAATGAAAGGGTAAAACGCAGACCAATTTGGATTGTGTCATGAAAATGGCCTCTCACATAACCTTTCACCAGCAAGGCTTGGCTTGAATAGACAAAGCAGCAGCCAGCATTCTGGGAGTTTCTTGGTATAGCCTGTGTTGGGGCAAGTCTTAAAAATTTCTCTTATGTCAGATAAACAGTGAATCATTCCTTGATTCATCTGAAACTTTGTTTTCAGTTATGAAAAAAAACACTATAAATCGTGCATGCCCAGTGGGTCAGGTCAAAAGATTGATATCTTTGTATTGCTTTCTGAAAAATCATTTGATCCGTTTTTTTCTTTTTCCTTTTTGAAGGTGCTCTGACAACACCTTTTTGGTTCTAAAAGGTTGCCCTCACAGTGATTTTGAATGAACCAGGGTCTCTGTGAGATAACAAACATTCAAGAATTTAGTGAAAGCATCCCTTACATTATCACATTATTGCTGTAGTACATCTTTTGGGAAACTGTTAAGCCAGAATTATTCCCTGAATCTACAATAGTTCACAGTGGAAAAAAACTTTTCCATATGCTGCTTTACAATATGGAACATAACTATATATGTAGCAAAATGTTTCTGAATTTTTTAACCTCAGAGAAATTTTTTTGAAACTTTTGATGATGTGGCTAGAAATAGAGGGAATGAATGTAAAGGAGGGGAGGAGGAGGATGAGGAAGTCACAGCTAGCCTTTCTGTAACATTTAGGATTTCAGTGGTGTTCAGTAACTTCCACTGTTGACATGCTTACTTGTGCTAGACAGCAGTAACTAAAATGTCAATTGATTTTTACAGCAACCTGATCCAGTACTCTGGCATTCAATGCAGGCCACATTCAGCAAAAAAAATATAAACAGTGTAAAGGTAAATCACATTAGTACTTACATGACCATGATGAAATGGGAAATTCTGTTTGTCTTAAGGTACCAAACTCCAGCTTACTTGCTCTCCTCTGGGGCATTAAAGTCACATATACAGGTATGGATCTGATTTTGGAATTGCTTCCTACCAGCCTTTGTGCAAGCTTGCTCCTCGCCTGCATGGGATGGTGAGCCAACAAGCCGAAGTGGTCCCACTGAAGGGACCAGTGCTGCTCATGCTCACATCCCAGGGGTGAGCACACCAGCTGCCGCAAGGTAGGAGGTAGGCAGTGTAATTGCATTAGTGAAGTGCTTTTACAGAGCAGTTTGCTGTGCCTGGCACCATACACAGGGTTGCAGCTGTGTGGCCCTGTGCTCCAGGAGCCTCCTCGGTCAGGCTTGGAGTCAAGCAAAGGTGGCTTTGCCAGACTGATGGTTAATGGCAAGCCCATGGTCAGTATTGAGTTGCCCCATGCTTGTTGCTGCATAGGTATTTACTTTGTGGGTTTCTGTGTAAATAACACTGGACATCTGAGCATCACCACTGCATCCACCAGCACAGACCAGGTCAGTTCTGGTTAAAAAATCCAAAGGGTCAATGCTGATTCAGATGCGACCTGCACAGTGCAAGTGCTTCACCCGACTCACCACAGCAGTGCAGGCTACTGGGGTGGGAGAGGAATATTTCTTCCTTCTTCTTTACCTCCAACCCCCTCTGCCGTAAGTGGGGTATTTTGCCAGCCTCTGTTTAATATGCATACTTCTACCTTGGCTGTTCCCCAGGCTCAAGTGAGTGCACTAATTTCCTCAACGAAGGACTTGTCTAAACAACGTGGTTTGGCTGCTTTAACAGGTGTTGTTCAAGTGCTAAATTCCCCTAAGCCTCATACAAGCCTTAGTACAAACATCACTATTGGGGAAGCAATATTTGCTTTAAAGCACCTCTCTAGGGCTGTGTACCATCATCCACAGTAGCATGGAATAAAAGAGTGGTAGGTTAAGCTGGCAATGGATTTGGGCTGTGTAACCCCTTTTAGAAAACAAACTTGTCTGTGATGGTTTTATAGAAACTTAAATACTTGTGAGGGAAAAAGTTGATGGCAGGACAGTTGACGTCCAGACATACGTCAAGCTACTTAATTATTTCCTGATAGGTTTCTTGTCCTAGTGGTCTGAAAGTGTCCAGGATGTTTGGTGATGTCTTGCTGATGTACAGTGACTTGGTCCTTTTCCTGGCCCATGTCCTTTCCTGCAGACTGCAGTGTTGTAGACATTACTCCTGTGCAGGGTGGTTGTTATAAACTATATTTACTGGCTAAGATATTAAAAGATTCATCTCCACCAGAGCACATCTACTAGAGTAATAACGCTGACAGAGCCCCTAAGCACTATAGCAACCATTCCCTCAGCCTCTGCATCTGAGAAAGCTGTGGCAAAGCAAGGCATCTGTAACTATGTCCACAGCAAGGGCTCTGGAAACACAGGTGTCTTGGTCATGCACTGCTGTATTCTTTCATGCCCCTTGCTAAGCCTGTGCTCTTCGGAATAGCTTGAGAAGCTCCAGCTGCGGGGTGCATATTACCCTCTACTATGCTGGCAAATTTGTTTTTTTTTATACTGAAGTCTACACTATATTAGCTGGATAATTATCACCAGGGCTGGTGAGCTGGCCTCTTTCACTTTCCTCTGGCTTCACTTGCAGAACAAAAGGGGTTTGCTTCCCTTTCTCCTGGATAGAATGTCCCCCATGCCCCCCCCCCTTTCTGTTACTGATCTTGACCACAAACTCTAAAACTTTCTGGTGCTTTATTCCCTCCCTCTCTTATTCATTATTTGCTTTGGATCACCGCCCTCCTTACAACTGTCCACAGACTCATCTCCTTGGAAACAGCAGAAGTTGTTTATGTGAAAGTCATAGGGAAACTAAAGCAGCTGCAGGTGTGCAAGGGAGCCGTGTTCCACTGGAGGGCATAGGAAAGGTGGGTCTCCACTTATTCTGACTGACAAAAGGTTAGATGGCTGAGGAAAACCCACCTTCTTCCTCAGGAGTTTCCCAAGTTGCCTTCCTCTGTTCACAGAAGTGGTGCAAAGCTCATTGCATGCACATGTGTGCATTTATATGGACCCTTTTTTGATCGTCTTTCATCACCAACGTGTAGGGGTTGAGAAGCAGTGGAAATTTGGTGAGTCTTGCTATTTATGGTGCACCATACCGTGCCAGGCCCATCTCCTCTCCTGTCTTGACCCCGTAACCCCCTCTGCGGCCACAGGACTTTCCCATCCATACCTTGTGATTTCTGCTGCTCCCTGCTTTGTGCCCTGCACTGCCACTGCTGCCTGTGCTGTTGGAAATGGCTGGTACACCTGCCAGGCCTAGCGGGCTGTTACCGGTCGGCTGTCCATGTGCGGTGTTTCCCAGTCCTCCAGGACAGAGCTGTGCAGGCCTGTGAACAGCCTGTGTGGGCACAGATGTGGCAGGGTCACCAGCTGGGACCTTTTGCCAGTGATGGTGGCATGCCTGGCTGCCTGCAGTTGCAGGCAAGCGGCCTGGGCTCGGGCAGGAAGACAGCAGGGCCCCATGGGGAGAAGGTCTGTTGTGCAAGGATAGCCTGGGCAGCTCCCCTTTTGTGGGTCTGGGTGGGCCGTGCTGATGCTGGGGGGGCCATCCTGAGCTGTGGGATTTGCCCTGGGAGTGTTAGTCCCTGAGTAAAGAAAACCCTGGCGAAGAGATGCCCATGTCAACATCTCTGTGATGACAGCTTGGAGGAGGAAGGAAGGATTTCTGTGTAGCTTTGGTTGTGGGGATGGTGGTGTGGACAGGTGATATTTGTTCTCCCTTACACAGCCTCTGAAACAGTGCTGGAAGAGCTGTTCCTGGAAACTTTTTTCTGTTATCAGAAACTTTTTTTCCTGCTCACCCAATATGAATGGCTTTTCCTGCGGTGTGCTTCATCAGCAGGTTCCAGTCTTGCTGTGGGTTTCTTCCTCCTGTTACTAGATACCTCCTTTGGGTGACTTTCTTGAGAACTACTGTCTGTAAATAGCCTTGCCCACATGGGAAACCTGTTCCAGTTGCATGCCTAGTATTTTAAGCTTGAGGGATACCATAGTTATATCATTGAACCTCCAAATAAATTGGTTTTCTATAAGCTGAAGCTGTATATAACTCTTAATTTCTTACACTGTATCAAGTGAAATGCTTGGTATTACTAGGTACCTGCTGTGTGATTTAAAACGTACTTTAACTTCCTAGAGGTTGTATTAAACTAAAGCACTTTCTGCACTTTCACTGTCCATGTCTTGAGTGTCAGAAAAATCACTATGTGACAGGGTGTAATCTATCTTCAAATGTGAATCTGATAAAATAAAGATTGTAAAAAGAGAATTGAAAACTAGGACTTAATACATACACTTAATAACAGGGAGAATGTTGGGGATATTGCATGTTAAATATCCTTTTGTTATCTCAACACTAAATGTGGAGAACTGTATCTTTATTATGTATTATATGTAAAAAGATAGGCAGTAGAGCAGTAAGAAGGCTGCAAAAGAAAACAGGCTGTAAAACTTGGAATGCTTGCTCTGCAGGGACTGTTGAATGGGAGATATTGAAGTTTATAAAATAGGTAATATAAAATGTTAATCCTTGGCTTTTAAAACGACAAAGATCAGTAGAAATTATTAGAAAGCACCAAGAAACATCTTGGAAAATTTTGGGTGGTTGAGGAGAGATACGTTTAATGTTATGAAAGGCATCATTTTGGAACTGCATTAAAATGCAGGATTCATCTGAGCATCTGTGGTGTTTTTTTTTTTGGGGGGGGGTGTTAAGTATTATTTGATTGCACATGATCTGGTTTGATATGAACAGGGCCAGGGACAGCACAGTGACATACTTTGAAAACTGCTACATAGTCTGTTAAAGATCTAATAGCCTTAAATAGCTCTGTTTTACAGGCTATGGGTTCCGAATCAAAGAACAGTTTCATAGGAAGCTTTCTTCAGCCACCAGATAGGATGCTTCCTGCAGGCTTTGCTTGTATAGAATCAAAAAAGTTGGCAGTTGTTGGTGGTGACAGGCCTTCTATCTCCAATAACCAAGGTAAAGCCAAAACATGTCCTTAAAGTGTTCTTTTTAATTGTTTCATGTGAAATCTCTTGAGAAAACTCTCCATTCTGTTTTACTTAGTTCAATGTCTTACTGCACTTATCAGACTGACATTGAGACAGGATGTATATGTGTCCTTCGGGAGTAGTCTCCCTGAAGTCATATGTCTGGAATGGAAACTACTGCAAGTCTTCTAACATCCTCATAAACTTTGGCTTTGAAAATTGTTTAACTTAGAGTTGTCAGACTTCCTCTAAAAGCAAAGGAAAATGCTTCAAACTCAGCAGGAAAAAAAAAAAAAAGTTCATTCATATGGTAGTTCACTGACTTGAAATTGGCTTTGTGTAGTGCTATTAGACTCCCTCTAGCTTAAAATCACTTCTAAGGGTATTTGTGTGGTATGACTCCTTGGGAGAGCTTTTGAATGACACAGACTTCCAGGAAAGTTAGCAGCATGAAATGTAGTCTGTATGAAATATGGGTCTGTTATGGTTGTCATGTGCCTTAATGGATGATTACTCTCTGGAGCTTACCAGAAAATGCTTGGTGGTTTAGCATATCTGGAGAGCTTCATGAATCACAAGGATACCATGCTTGGGTTTGCTATCATGGACAACTTTACAGTATTGCACAGCCTATGTGTGTGCATGTGTTCATTGTTCTTCACTTGAAGAAGATGTGACTTACGTAGTAATCTTTTGTCATACAGAGCTTGGGCTTTTTGGATTAAAATGGTCAATTTAATGCTATGCAGCTAAGTGCTTAAGTAAGGAAAAGTTTGGCATGCCAATAGAAAAATGGAAAAAGATCTTTTTGCTCTCTGGTTTCTGCTTTCTTTTTTTAAAAAAATTAATTATAATGGGGCTATGATAAGCTGATGAGAGTTGTTATGGAGCTAGCAATATTTGCTGGGTATTCCTTTACTGAGAAAATTGGTACTGGGAAACTATTAAGAATTATAAGTCATAAAAGAAGCTTGAGTTGGTATAGTATGTGTCTTAAACTTACGATAGTGTGTGTACCTTTTTGAGAACTAGTAGACTTTTCCTGTAGCTGAAATTGGTTTAAAGAGTCATCAAATACAAGAAACTAGACATTGAATCATTAGCTTTTGAAACAGTAAGCTTTTAAAATGCATCATCTACTAAAATGCTCCTTTGTATCTGATTTCCCCCCTGACCCAAGTCTGTTTTAGTTTTTTCAGTCTGTCCCCACCAGTTGCATTACACCAAAACTTGTGACCTAACTTGGATACCTGTGTTCTCTGTATCTGTGTAAACAGAAGTCCAAGGGTTTGTACACTCAGTTTGCCACGATATTTTTTGTGCTGCTGTCATTTGGAGTGAAAATGGTTTTGCTCATAGGACCTGTGCTTTACACCTCAGTTATGCAGTAAACATACCCATTTTCTCCCTGTGTTAGTGTACTGCTTGGGAATATAATTCATTTTGTGAGTGATCCTGGGAAGGTCACTCATAAAATGAAGTACTGTTTGCTAGCTGTAGTGGCAGCCATGAAAACTCTTCAGGAAAAGATGCACCGTCTACAGTTGGAGAAGTCAAAAGCTGAAGATAATCTGTGCAGCCTCTCCATAGCAGCTGCTCAGTATAAGAAGGCAGTAGAGCATGAATCCTACAAAAAGGACACAGCACATGAAGAACTGATGCAACAGAGGAAAGGTATTTCTCTTGAGTGATAAGGTGTAGCTACAGCAACTCCAAGACTGCATAATCCAGGGAGTGTTTGTTTTGACAGACTTCTAAGTAATGCACTCCCCCCCCCTTTTTTTTTTCTTCAGAATTGGGGAGGGGCAAGAACTTGATATCTCAATAAAGCTGAAACATTCTTTTGCATATATTAACCAAGTATTGCATAACCCATAAAGCTATTTTAAACCATAAATAGAGTTCAGGTGGCATGTTTAACTCCTACAATAAGCAGGCAGCTGCTTATGTGTATTACACTGCTAACTTGAGAAAAGTGAGGAGAAGGGAAGAAACCAGATTCTGGTTGGATATCTGCTGATATAAATCAAAGTAACTGCAGTGCTCACACCTTTGGAATCCAAATTAGGAACTAGCTCTGGAAAAACATTTTGATTCTCATCAATATATATAATGTGTTTTAAACACATGACTTGTTCAGACTAACAAAACTTTTCTTGCATATTTTGAAGACAGAGAATTCCTCAATGAGATGACAGACTGGCTAACTGTGTAACTCCCATTGCTGTACTGAGTGTCTTTTGTTTCTCCTGGTAGATATAAGTGTGCAGTTAAATGCAGCACAATCCCGCTGCTCCCTGCTGGAGAAACAGCTGGATTACATGAAGAAAATGGTCTCCAGTGCAGAACTGGAAAATAAAATGGTTTTGGAACAACAGGTGAAGCCCTTTAACATGCTAACAAAGTAGTAATATAGTTTAAAAGTGTAGAAATGTGTAAGATCTGAACTTCTTCCTAGATGTATTTTTTCCTCAGCTCTGATCAGCGTGTTACCAAACAGAAGCAGTTTACTGTCTGACTGGTTGATGACAACCGTTTAATGAATTGTATGAAAAGACTCCCTAGGTGGAACTCCTAATGAGCAAAACCATGCTAATACTTGCACATTTGGTAGACAAAAAGGCTGCTGGAAATTTGAGTCTTCTTTGCCTGGTGTTTTTCATCACTTAGCAATTTAAGAAAAATGAAATTTAAACTAGTTAAACACCTTAGGGTAGTGTGTTTGGGTTTTTGCTGCCTGAAACAATTTGAGTCAGCTGCCAACTCCGTTATTGCTTACTTTTTTCTAGGCCCAGCTTCAGAAAGAGGAAGATCAGAACCTGTTGAAACTGTATGCAAAACTTGAAAAGCTTGAAATGCTAGAAAAAGAGTGCCTTAAGCTTACTGCTACTCAGAGAATTGCAGAAGTAAGCATGCATGGAATGACAGTCTGAAAGTCATTCATTTGATATAATTTGTATGTCATACTTTTAATAGAACTAAGTTTTGCAAGAGTTTCCTCTGTTAAAGCTAAAGATCATAAAGCATACCTGACTGAATGCCATGCTGGCTTCATTTGCATGAGTATTTTTCCAATCTGGGCTTTAAAAATTCCTACAGTCCTGTTTTATCCCAGATTACAATTGCAACCTACTTCAGACTTCTGATTCAGCATGGCAAACTGAAGTGTGACTAATCATTCTTGCCTTCAAATGCAGGACAAGATCAAACGCTTAGAAGAAACGCTTTGTGAAGAAGAGCATCAGCGTAAGCTAGTACAAGACAAAACTGCTGAGGTAGACTGAAAAAGTTTTATTTTATCTTATTTTTTATGACTGAAGAATTCTATTGTCTGCCTAAAATACCCTTTTTAATTACATTAAACTGCACGTGTTTATTACCCCGGCAGAACTCCTGGAATACTACCTAAACTACTTATAAACTACATAGTATAAAGCTTGCTAGGTGAATTGTGTATCCCAGTCAAGAAGGATTATACTTGGTTTTGTATTAATAATACAGTTCATCAGCCTAAAAGCTGCTGTAAGTGATCTAGGTAGAAAATGAATTTCTAGAGAATCTGCAACTAAATCATGTAACCTTAACTTAGAGTAACTAGAAAGTGGTCATATAAGAAACATTATAACCCAAGCAAGGTTGGTTATTCTGTTTGTTTTCCTCTTTCTGCTCAGATCTGCTGAAATATAATATATTGGACTGTACATGGAAAAGTCTTTAATCAGTGATTCTGTTACATTGTTCATTAAGTGAGAGCTTGAATAATTCATTATTCTGTAAGGCTGTAACCAGTTTGTTGGACCACCATCTGAGAGAGGAATATTTGCCAAAGAAGGCAAAACCTTGGTTAAAGGGACAAAGTAGTAGTATCCCAAAACTCACTTCACTGAGAAGTACCAGCCATTTTAAAAAGAGAGCAGTTGTGGTGGCATTCTCGGAGGTAGAAGGGGATGGTGCAAAGCTGAAGAATTATATTGGAAGAACATAGCCATAAGCAGAGCTGACAGGTTAAATTAATTCGTCACTGTTGTCAGTTTTTATACCTCATCCAAGGATGATGGGCTTTCATCGGTCCAGAAAGCTTGAAATAAATTGCAGATCGTAGCCCAGGTATCTGACCACCTCCAGAATTCAAAAGAATGACATAGCTGACAACTTGCAGGTTTTGGGCTTCCAGCTTCAGCTGCTTGCTGAAGGCCTTGCATGGAGATTTCATCTTCTGAGAAATATAGTAAGAATGACTTTCACACATCAGATAGTCTGACTTGAACAGTAGTATAAACATTTGCTCAAGAAAGGACTTTGGTGTAGTAAACCAAGTCCAAAACTAGTATTAGTACCATCTTAGTTCACTCTAGGATAGATTTTGGTCTGTTGGATCTGGGTTGGGAAACATAGTGTGTTGGATGGTTCACTTCCTTCAGATGACAGAAAAGCCAGAATTACCTCATTTTTGTGATGGACCTCCAGCATAGTTTCGCTGGAACTGTTACACATGCCAAAACAAAGTCCTAGTCCTATGTTTGATTGGGAATAGCTGTTATCCTGTTTATCATGGGACTTTGTGTCAGCTAAACTAGAGAACAATCTTAGGATTGTCCAGCAGGTTTGACATCAGTGTCACGCAGATGTGCTCAGTTCTCTCTGTCCCTAGGTTGTAAGATCCAAATGTTCATATTATTTGGATTTTATGATCAGATCCCCAGCATGTGGCAGGATTGGCTTATCTCAGTTGGTTGTCACAGTGGAAAAATACAGCTGCTGCAGCTGCATTTAAAATTGAGGCCTTCTAAGATAGAGCAGAAGATCTGCCTGATACCCTGCCACCCTAGTAATCTGTTCAGTTTTTAATGCAAGATCTGCCTGATACCCTGCCATTTTAGTAATCTGTTCAGTTTTTAAGTGTATTTTATGTCTTCTTAACAGGGCAGTCAATAGTGCCCTTAATTGGTTCTTATCATCTCATCCATGAGAACCTTAATTGGTTCTTATCTGTGAAAGAGGGAATTAATTAAACCATGTGGTTTCATACTTCTAATATTATATTTTTCCTTTGTTGCTTATTCCCACAGCTCCAAACAGGATTTGAGATAAACAGAATTTTGTTGTCTTCAGTGACATCTCAAAATGAACCTAAAAAGGAAAACATGAAGAAGAAAAAAATTAAGAAGGTGACATGGAAGTTTTTTTTTACCATACTGTTGCTGATAGTATCTGACTCATACAGATATTGGAGTTTGTGAAAAATGCTGATGTAAGAGGCACTTGGTGTGTTTGCTGCACTTTACTCCATTTCCAAAGGAAAACAGTGCTGAATACCTCTTTGGTTTTGTTTGGTTGTTTTTTCCCTTTGATAATTAAGATGGTCCTAGGGCTGGTAGGTAGCACCTCACTGGAAAACTTTGCCTTACCAGCATGACAGTAACCTCTGTTACACTCTCAGATGGCCACCCCCATGTCCTGTCTTAGCTACCTTTCAGTTTATCTGGCAAGATTAGTTTCCAAAGCAATTTTAACTAGGCATCTTAAGATGGTATGTTTTGAGAGGATTGCTGAAGTCAAGAGCATTCATTTTGTAACACATGTTACAAGTCAGTCAAAATTTTGCAACTGTGGTTTTGCAAAATTAAGTAAGCAATGTTCAATTTCTTTTATGTCAACCTAATCGTCAAAATATCAGCTAAATGCATCTGGAGTAGTTTTCTTGTCTTGGCTGTTGAAAAGTACTACTCTTTCCACTTACAGGTGGGAAATTATTCTTTGAACCAGAGGGAAACAAAGGTGATACATTTCACTGCTTGTTTATTTGAATTTTACTTATTAGGGGAAAGAAAAAAAGAAAAAAAGTTCAAGCTGTTTGGTCAGCAGTTTGGAATTTCTTGTGTTACTTTTTCTATCTTATGGCAGAGAAATCCTACAGTGAAGAAAATGCACCTTTCACAATTACATGTAAGGGCTGGTGAACTACCTTTTGTAGCTGGGAAGGTGAGTGAAACCAAATCTCGCTAAATTAGCACCTGCAGTTTGAATAAGTCACTTTACTGTAATTGTTAATCACTTATGCAAACCTAATAATTCTGCTTTAAGTCTGTCAGCTCCAGCCATTCTGTTAGTGCAAACGTTCAAAGTGTGTTGCACATTATGAAGCATCACAATCCATGTATCTCATCACGAAGCCAAGGAGGAGCTACATCTGGGATTTCAGGACACACAGCCCTTTCAGAATCTGTATCCTCTTGTTCCACATCACCTGTTGCCACCAGAAGCCTTTCTGACCTTCTGTGGGCCATGCAAGATGAGCTGGGCGAAATGAACTTGTGAGTACTCATCCCTAATGTTATAAGTGACTTCAGTGGTAGCCCTGTGAAGCTACAGGTGTGTGTCGTGGTTTAAGCCCAGCCGTAAATCAGACTACACAGTCTGTCTCTCACTCCCCCCCCATTCCCCCTACCCCCGCTCCCGGAGGGATGGGGAGGAGAATCAAAAGAATGTAACTCACAGGTTGAGATAAGAACAGTCCAGTAACTAAGGTATAACACAAACCACTGCTGCTGCCACCAGTGATAATAATGATAAGGGAAATAATAAGGGAAGAGAATACAACCGCTCAGCACCCGCCAACCAGTACCCAGCCAGACCCTGGCAGTGATCTAACCCTTCCAGGTAACTGCCCCCAGTTCTACATCCTGGGCATGACGTGCTGTGGTCTGGAATACCTCTTTGGCTAGTTTGGGTCAGGTGTCCTGTCTCTACTTCCTCCCAGCTTCCCCTCCTCCCTGGCAGAGCATGAGACTCACAAAGTCCTTGGTCAGACTAAACATGACTTAGCAACAACTAAAAACATTGGTGTTATCAGCGCTGTTCCCAGGCTGAAAGTCAAAACCACAGCACTGCACCAGCTACTAAGAAGGAGAAAAATGACTGCTACTGCTGAACCCAGGACAGTGTGCTATAATTGAACCTGGCCTGTTTTAAGTATAGGACTACTTGTTGACAGGTGGCCTGAGCAGCCCTGGCTGGTAGGATTTTTCTCATTCAAAAAATTCTTTCTTGCCTGGTGTTTAACTGATCCTGTGAGCAAGCGACACGCTCTTCAGCTGGGTTTTTCTGCTTCCACATCCTGTACTTAACCAAGCCATTACTGATGTAACAGCTGCAGCAAACGAAAAGTCTTTCAAGCTTGTGCTTTTCAGAAATTTTGAACATATTCTGAGACCTACGGAGTTGACCCAGAATGTTTTCCTGGAGAAGGTTGCAAAGGTGATGTTAACATTGAGTAGGCCTGCAGCATCCAGTCAGTCTGGGTGGTAGAATAGGTTAGTTCAGCTGTGGCAGGATGAGGCTTGTTACACAACGTGTATCCCACAGTATGCCAGAGATTGGAAGGGACCTCAAAAGATCATCTAGTCCAATCCCCCTGCTGGAGCAGGAACACCTAGATAAGGTTACACCTAGTGTAGGCTACTCCTTTGTACTCACTCTTTCTGTATTCTCTCCATATGTGGGTACCTGATGGGTTTTTGTTGATGAGACAGTCTGACGTTCATATTCTTTCCTTCTTGATAGCAGAAGAACTTGCCAGTCCTGTAAGGGGGTTGTGGAAGAGGAACACTCTCCTGCCAGAAAATGGGCAGGGTGTGGAAGAAGCTTACTCATTAGATGGGAGTGTATGCATCTTTCCAGCCATACAAGTAAATGTGGATTACAACAGCATCTTCTGAGGCATTTTCTTAGGCATCTTCCCGTTAATGCAGGCTTGTAGGCCAAAGCTATATAGCTGGTCATAGGAGACATGTCAACATTATGAGCTGTGGTTTGAACAGAGGAGGATTTGTTGGTTAAACCAGTTAAGAGTGTCCACACTGATTTGAAGTCCTTGATGTGGCAAAATTTAAACTGGCAACCAATCTTTTCTTCAAAAAGTGATCTTCGGCTTACTCATGGTAACACAAGGACAGGCATTATGGTTTATTGCAACAACCAGTTGCTTCAATTAACCTGTCAAGGAGCAGCACTTACTCAGAAAGCAGAAAAGAAGCTGTGACCTTTATAAAAAGATTATCTAAAGGAGTATCTCTGTTTTTTACTACTTCAAATATCTAGGTATCATGGATATAATTGTGTATACCCAATTTCTTTTAATTAAGCTGGTTAATTAAGCTGATTAAATTAATTAACCAGCACACTTCACTGCAAATCTTTTTGAGAAGAATATTTTAATTTGAATAATCTGTCAGGAAAAACTATAATTTAAATGTACTAGTTTAAACAATACTTTTCTGTATTAAATTAAGCTTTCAAAGTCTGGACTAAATTGGACAGGAAGTGAAAATACCATACTGCATAGCTGTTGTTCACTTTCCAAATTCTCATTTTGCATACTGTTTCACATGTAGTTATTTTGGCTTGGCAAGAGGGAGGAATAAGATGCACATCAGCTACAAATGTGGAATAAGCAAACTAGTGGAAAAACTTTTCCTTTTCTGGTGTGAATATATTCCACATAAATGTGTATTGTATGAGAGGGTACATCATGCTAAATTGATGTACTTTGGAGAAAATGGCTAGCAACTCCTGGAATACACTGAAAATATTGGAAGAAGTCTTAGAGACCATATCATGAATACTTTGTGTGCTATTCTTGTCTTTAATAGTGAGCATCAAGAACTTCTAAAGCAGATACAGGAGACTCAAGACTCCAAAGTTCGTGAACACCTAGAACAGGAGCTGGATTGCCTTGTAAAACAAATGGAGATTAAAGGAAAACAAATATTCAAGCTGAAAAAGCATGAGGCTACTGTAAGAATAAAATATAAACTCTGGGTAGTAATACACTAGTAATACAGTAGTGCTACAATTTTGCCTCCTGTTGTCATTAACTAGAGTGTCACTGAAATGCTTAAGCCAGGGTGTTCAGTATGTGTGTTTATAATTAGGCAGCTAGCTCAGTGTTCTTGTACCTCCAATTCCTTCTTTTGATCAAGAAAAAATGCTTACAGCTGGCAGCGAGGAATATATGCCAGAGGGAAAGATTTCTGCCCTGTGTCAGTTCTGCAAAACAGAGCTGGGTTGCTCAGTCTGTCAGTTCTGCTCACTGCATTAAGATAAAATGTTGAGATTTCATTCGTCTCATGTCACTTTGGGAAATGAGAAAATAGAAGCTATAGGTCCCATACAAACTGTATTAGATGTCTTTTATATTACTGAAATAATGAAGCTTTTTATTAACCAAATAGTCTGTTGACCACAGCTACTCCAAAATCATAGCCAGACAAGTCTTCCAGTTTTAACTCCTAATCTGTATGTGTTCTATCAATATGTGTTTTAGAGCCATAGAGACATAAAGCCATAGAGCTTTTCATGCATGCCCGTATAAAATCACACTTCTGTAGATGAACAGCTCAAACGTTTTTGTAGCAATTTGGTGTGGAACATATGATAAAAATGCAATCCCTAGTTCTGGCTGACAGTTTTCTGTTCTTCCATCTTATGTTTCCAGATAAACAGACTCACCTAAGAACTTTGCTTATACAGGAAACAAAACAAAACTCAGAGTGAGACCTTAGAAAAGGGAGAGGTGATAGTTAATTTAAATCTGACCAGTTTTATTCACATTCATTCTGTGATAGATTTTACTTATTCAAATCTTTTACTGTCCACATAACTGCAAGCACAGACGTGTTAAAGTAGAATTGTCAGAATTGCATGTTAGCAATATGGACCAAGAACACTGACTGTTGCATCTTCACTACCTCTCTTGGCAATATCAACTGTTTTTTTGACAAATCTTTGGTATTCTTGAGGAACCAACAATTATGGTGTTATTCCTTGCCTCAGAATCTTTCTGATTTCATCCTCCAGGAACCTTAGACAATGGACAAACAACTGCACCTTTGTTTATTCCTTTTGTATATCTTCATGGCTACAGTCTGCCTTCCTTTTCAAATGATGAAAAGAGGAATAGCACATAAAATGTGGTGCAGCCTTGTTGTCATCCTTGCCTATCATCAGCCTGCAGATCTGCTGACAAGTTATCTTTGCCCTTATCAGACCATACACCTTACGGTCATGATGTAAATAGCACATTCTTTGTCTTTGTCTGATTATTGTTCATCATGCCCTGGTTATCGATTCATATTACAGCTTTTAGAAGCTGTCACACTAAAAATGCCATAGTCATCTCTGTGTTTCACAGTTAATAATATGTTCTAGAATGCAATACAAGTTAATTATTTTTAGAAATTGACTTAAAGCATAAATTGGCATGTGGAATGCTTCCAGCCTAATTTTATCCTTGGGAGTGACCTTTTTATGCCGAATGCAAGTCAAGACGTATTATTTGTCATTAAAAAAACATTCTTCATCAATCAACTCTATTTATTTTGTTTTCCAGTTTTGTTATGAGGCTTTGAAGTAGGCTGCTTAGATACAGTAACCAGTAACAAACAGTGTACATTTTATAGGTTGGTTGGGGAAGAGGTTGGTTAGGGTTGTACAGTCTGAAATGGAAAAAGACCATTGTAAATATAAATTGTTGACCGATGAAGTTCCATCTCTCTCAAGCAAGCATTTTTACCTTAGGGAGTTCAACAACCTATTAAGTGTGGGTGAGGTCAGTTTTCTGTAGTGCTTTCTGTTACAGTGAGACAACTGTGTGCAAGATTAGTCGGTTTCAATTTTCTTTTTTTTAATATTCCTTAGACATCTTTAGTTTGAAGTTTAGAAGTTCAGTAAATTCTACAGCTGTAGGTCTTCTGAGTGTGTAATATTCTGATCAGTAATCTTTCTTCCTAGGTGCAGAAATTAAAGAGAGAAACTCAGAAACTGAAGCAAGGGGCAGCTCAGGTCAAACTGAAGTGTCCTGGGCAGAAAAGCAGAAGCTCTCTTCAGCTGCTAAAAAATGTACAGAAACTTCAGTCAAAACTGAAAAAAGATGGTATCATGTAGTAACAATAGTTTTGAAGTTTACTGTGGTTTAAGTTTTTAATTTCACAAAACACCTTTAAAAAATGAAATAGATATAGCGTAGATATAGATACACATTCCAAACTGCCTACTCACTAACAGGCCAGTTTGTTCACCTCAGAATTAACTTTCATGCAGAGTAGCTATAACTCAACTACACTGACTTGTAATAAAAGTGTTTTAATGGATTAATGAAATGCTTACTTGTTAACTTGTATAATAAAATTTTATACTTTTTTTACACTTAGAATAGTATGCCATCTTTGGTGTCTCATTCCCATGCTGCCAAGGGGATACTCAGAGCTCACTTTTTGAGAATGACTTGGGCTACTGATTCTGTTCAAATAAAAACAGTAGTTTTCCTTTTCCCTAAAAACTGAAGATTCAGATCATTGCAACTGAGGCAGAAGAAGAGGTACTGTCTCTTATTTATATATATTTTCATTATAATTAATGTTATTGCTCTGTAAGTGTTATTGACAGTTTTAGGGACAGGTAGAGACTGGCATTCCATGACTTGGTTAAATCATAAAAACATGACAGTGTTCTTGATAAGAGCATGGAAGGGGCCACGACCAAAAGCTTGGGTGCTTGTCTTCAGAACCTGTTTCTATCACAATAGAAAATAATTGAGCTGTCACAAAGGAGACCTTGAACTTCTACCAGTACATGTTTTGGAATCTACGTACTTAATATAAATGCCAGACGAATTTTTATGCAAATGATGAGTCTGCTCATTTCCATTCCCCTCTATGTACGTATGGGAAAAGACATAACAGTGACTTCAAATCAACACTGGTTATTTAGTTGCAGTAAATTTTTGTCTTGAGGCTACTGACTGGCACTAATTTTCCTGGGTGTTTCCATATGTGAGAAAAAAATAGCTTCTTGGGGATATGAGTGAAGTTCTGCTGCAAGAACGAGAGAGAGAATGTGGTGGTAAGAATAAAAATTGAGTCATGCTCTGTTACCAAGGTTTTGAATAAAGGCTAGTAACGATTTATGGTCCTAATGGGCAATTGGGCCTTTGGATAGGTAAGTTTTGCTCTGCCACCTTTCAAGACAAAGGATGAAAAAAAGAATAAAATCGGAAAATTAATTCAAATTTAGAATAGACTGTTACAGTCTTTGACAGGAGTTGGTTTTGTGATCATTCAGGGGTGAGGGGTGGAGTTTATATGCCCTAAACATCTTCAGCAGAACTGTGGAAGACCAGGTTGTTCAGCTGATACTTAGGGATGTGTTTCCTTCACCTTGTGAAATTGTATAGACATCCTTCTTACTTATGGATTATCTCTGGCGGAGAAGAGCATATTTTATGCTTAAAAGCACTTAAACACAGTTCTGTGAATGGTATTTTCCTGGTATAGATAGCATTTCTAAGGTAGGTTTACACATTTCTGGACACTGGAATCACTGATACCAGGGACAAAAGAAAAGTAAGCATTTCTGCTATTAACATTTTCAGATTGTAGGTATTCTGCTGCCACGAGATAAGCCTTTGGAATTCCAAGGGGTGGTTAAAGAATCTCTGAACCTCTGTGCCTGTGTGTGAGAGAGCGAGCAAGAAGGGCCTTACTGAGCCCTAAGGAGCATAAAACATATTTCATCCAGAAGTCCATCCTTCATCAGGCATTGGACTGAGAGAGAAAAATTGCCAGCAATTTGCCCCAAATGCATAAAACCAGGTGGAATGACTTTGTGTGGGGGCAGTGGCAGGAGTGGGAGCAAGAAGTGCACCTGGCTTGTAGCTATGCAACTTCTGTAGGTTGGGTTTGCTATAGGGACAGCTGGGCCGGGCCTGTCAGAGAGCTGGCACGTCAATCACCTGCTCCTTCTATGCTTTGACCTATTTGGTTGGGGTTTTTTTGTTGACTATAGAAACTCAGGGAGAAGAGGCCATTTTGGAGCTAGAGCTGGAGAAGGAGGGCCCTGGTTTCCCTCTTGGACAAGGGGCTGTGGTGGAAGGCAAACAGCTTTGGTTTGGTCAACCAGGTACCGGATGGGGAAGTGCTTAAATGATGGAAGCACTGAGTAGTCTACTCTTCAAAATGTGTATGCTGACAGGGACTGTCCAGTCCCAGAATAAAACTGCTGTTTGCCTTTCTGTGGGGCAAGTTGCTGGAGGGAAAGGGAAAGAGCTGAATCTGGGCCTGTCTGCAGGTGGGCATTTTGCATCTTTGCCTGCTTTGGAGTGGGATGGGGAGCTGAAAAAGCTGGGTTGCTCAGAGCCAAGAGCTGTGATTTGAGAGGGAAAAATATGAATGAATGATACGTGAGCTCACAGAAACTGACAGGCACATCACTTGTATTTCAATTTGGAAGGTTTCACTGTATTTTGATAATTTTCTTGTGCTTTTTTTCCTGGAGCTTGTCTTTCTTTAGCGCATGTGTTTTTAAACACTAAAGTAAAGCAGATGCATTTCGGCGTGGGCTGAGAGAGTCAAACTGGATACAGAGGAAGTGCATCCCAAACAAGTTTTCTTGCTTGAAGAAGCACAGGAAATCTGTTTTCAGATTGTATGTTGGGTGTGTGAGGCCCAGGGTAGGAGATCAGCTTGTGTATGTATGTATGTATTTATTTATTCATTTATTGGAATATTCATAGTTTGAAGCAACTGTCAATCACATAAAGTAAGTCTTCAAAGGAATACACAGCGATCAATAATTCTGCAGAAACCTCAGGGATGAAGTTAAGCTTGTGCACAAGTGTTGGCAAAGTTCAGCTCCAGAGGAATTAGGCAGGCACATCACAGTGAGTTTTGCTGAGATCTGCTTCACGTCTTATGCTCCAAAAAAGTTTTGTCCTGGAACTGCATAAATGTACATTTGGAGAAAGCACAGTGGGTAAAGGAGGCTTCTTCACAAGAACAGTATGTTTTGGCTTAATAAGTGCTTGCTCTGCTCTTTTACAGATCCTCATTTTGATTTATATCCTGCATGATTTTGTTTGTCTTTTCAGATGAAACCGCATAGTTCTTTTTTTTCTTTTCTTGTCTTTTTTTTTTTTTTTTAATGAATATTTTGAATCTAGCTATACAGTGGTCAAAAACACACAGTGATTCCAAAAAAAGACTAATTGGTTTATTTACTGAAAATCCAGGTGCTTTCATGCTCTCATGCAAAATTGCCACAACAGGTTTTGTTAGAACTTGAATCTAGGGTCATATTTTATGGCTAGACATTAAGAAAATTGGACAAAATAGGTAGGTCAAACAGTACAATTAAAAATACAGACCAGCAAATTGTATCCAATAATAGTTCACTTTTCTGCTGCTAATCAAATATGCTAGCACAAATTAATGGCTTGTTACTTAAGCATGCTTGAAAGACTTTGTTCTAGTACAAAAGGCATTCAGTTTGAGAGTGTGTTACAATCTTCTAACCAGCAAAGCTGGAGGTTGGACAGAGCTATAAATCCAGTGTGTTCTGGGAATAGAAGCTGGCAAAAACACTCCCAGCAAAATAATCAGAGCAGGATCTTGCTGGGATTTGGACATTGGCTAACGTAACTAAGTGCAGATGTTTGTGTGGACTGAAAGACATTCTCAGAATTAAGAGTCCTGTACAAACACATGGTGATTTTTATAGCAGAAAAAAAAACAAGGAAGTGGGGATAATAAACCATATGCTTGTATTTCTGATAAAGCATTTTGTTTTCTTCAGCTTGCCTTTACTGATGTGGTCAAGGTTACCTGTGCCACATCCTCGGCCAAGATCTATTGAAGCTTCTGTGAGTCGCTTGGGTTGTGGCTCTGGTGCTTACCTGAAGGTCTCCATGGGTTCTCGGTGTGGGTACCATAGTCTCTCTTCCATCAGCGGAAAGGAGTAAGCATTTCTGAAAGTGTTAGCCTAAGGTAACAGCTAAAACAGGTCAGGTGAATCTTATCCTAAATGCCTGGTTTTCTCTACCAAATACAAAGGGAGTCTGGGGATACTGGTGAGCTTGAATGAATATATCTATACTGTACAAAGAGTTTGGCCAGACGAATTCTGAAGAAATGTGGCTCTGAAGAAATCTCGCCTCTGATTTCTGGGAATCCTGAGTTAGCTCTTCAAAATCTTCTGAGGTATTGGGTAAGTCCTGGGCTGCTGACAGCCTGGCAATCCTGTGCACTGCCCTGCGTGCAACCATTTTTCCTCCTGTTTTTGTGCTGGCTTCTCATGCTTACTGTAAATTCCCTGTGATGAGTAGTCTGACTGATCCAAAACTAGAATATTGGGGTTTCGGTGCTGTATGGTTCAGGAAGACATAGACTACTATAGGATTTTATTTTGCTCATACTTGAGATGACTTCTGTTTGTAATTTGGATTTATTTATGAGCAGCTTTACTCTTTTGCCAAAAGTTTTGCTCTATACCCAGAAATAGTAATTTATATTCCCACTGCATCATTCTGCTACCCT